TTAAAGTTCCGCTCGTAGTGGTTCTCACTCAGCATGAGAAACTCTACTTACCGATGTATCGACAACCTCACAGTTCTGTGAGTGAAAACCACTAGCAGCTCTTCGCAGATTGCCGTTCCGCAGGCGGAACTTTAAACGCTAATAACTTTATTAAATTAATTATTATCAGAGTAATTAATGTTGCTGCGTGGGCGGTTTAAAAAATTCCCCACCCGTCCGCATCGCGACTCCGATGGTCCCAATAACGGCGCCGTACTATCAAACAATACCTGGGCCATAAATCATCTTACGTGTCGGTGAAATTATTTGGCAAACCGGGCGTCACGGATGTAAATTGCGCGTTCGACTTCCTGTTCGCCGGAAGCCGCGATAACATCAATAGCACCGCGCGCCCGTAGAAAAATCGGTAACTGCTTACGCGATCGTGCGCGTCCCCGTCCATCGATCGTTTATCCGTCGAAACCGAACCCGGGGGCGTAAGGGGAGGGTGTAGAAAAATAGGTAAAACTAAAAAAGAAGCGTGTATCCGTACAGAAGGGAGGGCATTCAGTCGTTTATCGTTCGGTTCGTCGATCGAACGCATTCCCTCTGGCTGAATACATTGGAAATATTATGGATACCGGTTTATAGGGTTTTTGTTTTGCCAATGGACGACGAGGGGAAGTGGCAGATGCAGGATTATTGTTTCATAACGCTCGCCGCGGATTTCTCTGGCCTTTGTTTCGCGCGTCGATGTGATTCGACGAAAATTGGGGTCACACTTGAGCCTATCGGCCGACCGCTGGATATCCCCGTAATATCAGCGAGTATCGCGATCGCGGCTGGAGCTTTTCGACAATTAAATCGGTCGTGATTTTACCCGGCCGCGTTATCGCGACCGTGCGAATGCATTAAAATGTCTTCGGCTGTTAATTAATGTAGAAAGTTATCGCGCGGTCGACCCTGTCGATTGCGGGCTGTAGATTATCGAAACCTCGTAATCGGAATCGCAGCCGATTATTCGTTGTTCTTGTCCTTGGTCTATCACTATCTATTTCGTTACGCGAAACCTTATAAATCTGAATCACGATTTTCAAACGAGAAAGTTCGATTAAAATTTAGAAAATACAAATACTGTTTCGTATCCCGTAACCTTGTTCTCGATCTCTAAATATTCATCGACTTCGCTTTGAGCTTTGCAGGCCATTTTAACCGTATTTTTCGCGCGGCCATGAAAGCCGTCTTTTTTTCACAGGGCACCTGCGTCGAAATTTAGTAGCCTCCCCACACACAAAATGCTTTATCTCTCACTTGTTCCCTCCACTATCTCGAGTGTACGTCAATAATCTAGTTTCCAGGTTATGTTAACCACAAAATGTAAAAGTTGCAAGTTTTTTCGATATTCCAATTGCTATGGCTTGAAAACTCAAATTGTAATGCTGGTCAAAAGTATGTAGATCACGATTCGATTAATACTGGAACTATCGACAATTATAGTTTATTTGTACCGAAGAAATTAAAAAGATATAGCGAGTTTCTTCTTTAATGTCTCAGCCATTTCGTTATATGCGAAACTTTCCATTTTTAGCAAAATAGTATCTAGAAGTAACACTGCTCTCCAATAATTCATACGCAAGACTAAAACAGTCACTATTGATTTTAAAATTTTTAAGAGGCTGATAAAATAACTAAAGTAACAAAAACAAAAGAAACCAAAAAGAATAAGTATATAATAATATAAATCAAATAGGAAAACGAGATAGAACAAAAATTAAATAATTATTATAAAATACAAAGTTGAAGCAGATACTGAGCTCTCTTCGTCAACAGTGAGTTTGTCATTATTCATTAATATCTTTGGAAATAATTCTACCAACATACAACTCGTCATAGCTCGAAAACAAAGTCGAATAGCACGTATGACACCCTGTATAATGCAATGGAAATAAATGTTTATTCATTCTTTTACAGAAAATTACAGTAAATTTTTAAAAATTCGGTCGAATAAATTTTGTACAAGTTTCATTAGAAATTACGAATGGGTCATTTCGGCCATTTTGGTAGTTCCAGTGTTAACTGTTCGCGTGGTTATTACATACCAGGTTCGTTACATTATTTAAAATAATATAAAAAATCCGTGAGCTATAATTCACTGCCGTTGCTGGAACGAGATACGACGTTTGCTTTATCCTGCTTTCAACTGAAAAACGCTGATTCCATTAATAACGTAGATTCCATTAACAAATTTAAATCGTCCGGAAGATTTTTCTTCGTGCGAGTTAATAACGTTGTAAACTTTTGTTCCGCGTTGATGCATTCGACCGCAATATTCATACGTGTATTGCAAACATGAAAATCATGATCTACCGGGATGAAGCAGAATACGAGATCACGCCGGCAAAGAGGAGACACAAGCACACACGGCGCAACGCAAACAGACGCATTCGATTTTATGCGACCCTCGTAATCCACGGTCGACTGTAATATTTATAATTAACGTTCCTGTCGTTAAAAACGTGTGTAACGTTCGTAGAACGCCAGCGTTTCGGAATCTATTTTGATAACATAACGTTACTTATGATTTATAGAAGATATTCATTTCGATTGCTTGCAATAATTATACATTTCACACCATTTTTCGTTATATTCGTTTCGCATTATCAGATTGTTATCAATAATTCGAGGTGGAAAGCTCTTTGTAAGTAATAGTAAAGCATAAACCACATCGTAAAGCAAAACATTTGGTCGAATGCAACACGAATGTCCACGACTATTTCTTAATGTTGAATCGTTAAAAAAATTAAAATTCCAGGGTCACTTTTTATTGTACACGTTTCAGTGTCAGCTTATGGTAGAAATACTGGATCGAGAATTTTCATACCTGTAATAATTAGCACTTGTTACATTTATATCAAATAATAGTAAAGCTCCTTGTAAATAATAGTAAACCATAAACTACATCGTAAAGCGAAAGATTTGGTCGAATACAACACGAATGTCCACAACTGTTTCTTAATGTTAAATCGTTAAAAAAATAAAATTCTGGAATGGGCTTATAGTAGAATAAGAATTGATTGAGAATTTTCATACCTGTAATAATTACTGGTAATAGTTTATATAAATTCAACAGGTACTAATTATTACAGGTATGAAATTTCTCAATCTAGTAATTCTACCATAAGCGGATGTAGAAACGTGTGCAATAAAAAGTGACCCATTCTAGAATGTTATGTTTTTAACGACTCAACATTAAGAAACAGTTGTGGACATTCGTGTTGCATTCGATAAAATCTTTTACTTTACGATGTAGTTTATGGTTCACTATTATATACAAGGAGCTTTTGGTTCGAGAATTTCCATACCTGTATTTATTAGCACTTGTTGAATTTATATAAACCGTAACTATTACAGGTGTGAAAATTCTCAATCTAGTAATTCTACCATAAGCGTATGTAGAAACGTGTGCAGTAAAAAGTGACCCATTTTAGAACTTTATTTTTTTAACGACTCAACATTAAGAAACAGTTGTGGACATTCGTGTTGCATTCAATAAAATCTTTCACTTTACGACGTAGTTTATGGTTTACTATTATTTACTAGGAGCTTTTGGTTCGAGAAATTCTATACCTGTAATAATTAGCACTTGTTGAATTTATATAAACCGTAACTATTACAGGTATGAAAATGCTTAATCTAGTGATTGTACTATAAGCTGAAACGTGTGAATCGAATGATCGTTGTAAGAGCTGGGTAAAAAGCGAGCCAGGATAAGTATTATCGTTGGCACCTGGGATTCCCCCAGAAGGTCGTGCACGTATTCCCATGGGTGGCGGGACTATAGCGCCGCGCGAGCACTAGGGACAGTCATCAGGAAGAGGACGTGGATCGATAAACTATCAGGAGCAGAGAGTCAGAAAATCCGAGCGCCAGGAGGTGGATCGAAATAAAAGGCAGGAGGTCGTTACGGAAATATCGTGGTTCGTGGCATGAGTGACTCGTGCCAGGTGGTCCCCCCCCCCCCTCCCATAGAAGTGTGGCGACACATGTGGATGCCATAGAGGAACGTACTGCCGCCGCGTGACACGTGGTCTCTGGCCCTGGATAATAATAACGTTACGATACCCCATTTCAGACGTTCGATGGCCCCCCAAAAGCCTCTCCTATTCTCTCTTGACGTTGACAAACCAACTGTCTCCTCGTGCTCTCCTGATCGAAGCGTCCCTTTCGATCGTTCGAAGGGCTGAAACGTCGCGACGTGGTGGCTCGACCGGCGAGACCGCTCGATTTAAGGGGTTGGAGCAACCCCGAGCAACCCCTCGTCGATCGAAGGTAAAATTGTTTTACTTGGCCCCCGACCATCGTGTGGAAAACGATCGCGTATGGAGTCTTCCATAGTGGACAGTGTTTAGCTATGGCGTTCGAAGAAACAGCAAATCTTGGGCATACTCTTTTTTCAAGATAATATTCGTAACTCAAATTTGTGGCAAATAATACAAAATAAATAGGTAGACAACGAAGAGAGAAAGTTATGCAGCGAATGTGGATTTGCACAACGGTTATCTTCTGCAATTTATTGACCATAAATTTATTACTGCTTGCATATTATCGCAAGCGTAATTAATATACCGAATTATCCAATAAAATGTAACGTATTTTCGTTAAAAATTTTAATAATCTTCTTTCGTCAATTATTACAGCGGTTCGATAGACTCCGATAAGTATTCGTTTCTCTAATAACCGTTTCACGCAAAAATTCCACCAATCCACGGGGCCGCATCGTTTCCTGCAATTGTTCAATTTGAAACGTATAAAATTGCAACAAGATGAGTCAAGCGTAATCCAATATTGCACGTGGGATATCCAATATTGGTATCGTGTTAATTTAAATTTTTAGCAATATTTGCGCTCCGTAGTTGTAGTGCCTGTTGTTACGCCGAGTAACCTGCAGGGAATAACGTATGAGCCGCAGAATATTGCAGTCGCAGCCTGTTTTTTTAGTTACGCGTGTTCCCTTCGTGCAGGTTTTGGGTTTCAAAGACACGTACGTGTGGATTAAGGATGACAATGCCGACCAGAAGAAACGCGGAGGACTTCGTTCGACCAAAGCACTCAATTCCAGCGCCCAGGTAATCGTTTTCGGTCATGTGTATCAATGAAACGAGAGAATCTTCTGTTTCCACTGTCTTGGAACAGCCTAACAACGCGTATTAAAAATACTAACAACTTTAAACTATTAGTGTTTTATGCATTATTAAGCCATCGTTGGAAGCGGTAAACCTTTCCCTTTAAACTGTTTTTTGGTTTTTGATAATCCGACTTTCCGTTTTCGAGATATCGTAATTTATGTAAAGAGGTATTTTTTAAATTCGACTATCCACGCTCTCGCCGTCTCAGAAACATCTATTAATGCGTATTAAAAATACTAAAACTTTAGACGCGTACAGTTCCCAAATTACTAGTGATTTATTAATAATTGAGCCATTGTTAGCGGCGGCAAACCTTCCTCTTTAAGATGGCTTTTGGTTTTTGTCGATCCAACTTTCCGTTTTCGAGATATCGTAATTTATGTAAAGAGGTATTTTTTATATTCCACTATCCACGCTCTCGCCGCCTCAGTAACGTCTATTAATGCGTATTAAAAATACTAAAACTTTAGACGCGTACAGTTCCCAAATTACTAGTGATTTATTAATAATTGAGCCATTGTTAGCGGTGGCAAACCTTCCTCTTTAAGATGGCTTTTGGTTTTTGTCGATCCGACTTTCCGTTTTCGAGATATCGTAATTTATGTAAATAGTAATTTTTCTTAATTCGACTATCGCTGTCTTTGTCTAACACGTCGCGCCGGACCTCTCTTTCTCGTACGTGACACGTGACCGAGTGGTCGAGTGACCTAGTTACTACGAGTCACGTGCGGTCAACGACCTTAACAAGATCGTAGTAAGAATGTAAACAAACGCTTCGGACCCTTATATCTCCGAAACTAGCCACCGCATCGGCTTGAAACTAAAATCGCTATATCTCCGGAACTAATAAAGCTATCGACATGAACGAAAGCTCATTTTAAAGGGCATTTCATCCCCTATGTAATGAATATATTACCTACTATAATTTATGCCATCTTCTATGTTTATTTTGCAATTTACTTTGACGCTACATACCCAAAGTAGTTTCAGCAATTCCTATTGATCGTACGACTAGTGTACGATAAAACTGGATCATAAATTGTATATTTAATTGAAAATGAATCTAAATTTGTATAGAGGATGTTTGCACAATTACTATGCCATTTTTTCGTAAATAATTCTTCTCTCCGGAATTAACTATAGCATCGACTTGAAAGAAAATTCGTTTCCAAAAACGCATACATATTTAAGTTTTTAAGGAATTCTTTTAGTTTCTATTGTTCGTGGAGAATAATTGATATTTAAATCGGAATGTCAAAGAGTTTAATAATTTACTTGCTTAAAGTTCGGCTTGACCAGTCGCGATTAGTGCAATTTCACGAGTTACGATTCTCCTGTCACGGCTTTTCTTTCCGAAAGATTATTTGGGCGGATCAGCAAAAAGTGATCGAGCGTCACAAACGCGATCACGTGCCACTCGCGAGCTTAGAATCGGAAAAGCCTCTGATAAGGGAGAAAAGGCTCGAAGTGGATCAGTATCGCTTGAATTCCGTGGAGGACAACGAGGATTGGGATGAATTTTGGTCGACCGATGCCCAGGACTCTAGATCGATGTTCAACGACGAACTTTGGGATCAAGAATGGTACCTGGTAATAAAACACCACGTTCGAATCGCATAAAATCATCGAATTGGCCAGTAAACAATATTTCTAATAACAATGACTATATTTTGATGTTTAAAAATTTATACAAAATGTACGGAGAGGATGCCATCGAAGGTTTTATTTCAAATAAAAAAATTTTACCGTCCATTCTCTACGATAATCCCTCAATGCACGAAGCTTTGATTCCTGAGAGACTATTAAACGGCTTTTGATTAATTTTTTGCGAGGAAATAAAGGGTTTTTTTTATGAACGATGAATTGAAGTAGGCCAAAAATTAGAACGGAAAATTTATTATCGAATTAAAATATTTTCTACTATAAAACAATTACTTTCTATTTATTGGCCAATCGAATGTGGTGCAATTAAACGTAAAAATCTATATTTGGAAAAGTAGTTGATGGTAAAACGTTATCTCCTGATAAGATAAGGGTATATTTATCATCTGCTGCAGCAAGACACGAGATCGAACAAAGCTTTGCCGAAGCTCGACTTGAATGTTCTACCCCTCTATCGACTGGGAGTAACTGGTCGCGGAGTTAGGATCGCCGTTTTGGACGATGGATTGGAATACACCCACGACGATCTCTGGAACAACTATGTGAGTCGTGAAACATTTGGGTTACAAATGTCCTGGGCACTCCACATATGACAAAATCAATTCGAATAATCATAGGAGTGTCAAGCCTGTTAAAACTAAGTCTAAAGCAACTCTGGCTGGTACATTTATAGAACCACAGACGAGTTATACGAGTAGACCTTTCACCTTATGGACTTTCGTCGCCCAATCTGACTGCCATACCGACCTGAAAATTCGGAGGTGATTTTAGCGTCCTCTTCACATGAATGGCGATCAGTTGAGAAACTATTCACTGAATTAGTATTGATAGACAAACAGTTGTAGTGTTGTGTAAATACATGTGAGTTGACTATGGAAGAGATTAAAATTCATTTCTGAATCTGTCGGTAACGTTGCGAATGACACGAAAATGGTAATGGGGTTTCGAGACCCCATAAAAATGGGCCGCAAAAATACATTGGATGAAGGATCTACTTCTATACCTCATCTGTTACAATACTCTAGAATCTTTGATGAATCAATGAGAATCAAAACTAACCTAATGAAGAAGCTCTATATTTATGATGACCTATGCAAGGTTGGATCGCAGCCAATTTGCTAATATTATTTAGTTTTTAATTAATAATTGCATTACCCAGCTAAAAGTGACACGATTATTAATTAAACGCTAAATAATATTACCCAGGTCTCACCACGTGGAGGTTGCTGCGAATGGAGACCCGCCCTAACCGATTCCCAACCACCCTCCATTAGTAAAGATCTTTTGTGATCAGCGATCGTTGGCCAAAGAAGCAATAAACGAAAGTGCAACCAACGAAGGAAACAACCAACGAAAGAGTTTTTCGAGAAAGAATTTGCCTCTAAATTCTCATCAACAAAACAGGGAAATAGGCTAAAATATTGCCTGCCTGATATAATGATTAATATGGAGAACCAAACTCCTGCCTAACTATAAATCTAAATTCATTTACATCCTACCTATCTAATCATCTAACAAACTACATAGAAAATATATTCTTCCTTGTTGATCCTTCGACGAAGATTTCCTGAAACATACTGTTACATTCTACCTAACTATAAATCTAAATTATTAAAACATAAAGTAAGCAATCTGAAACAAAATACATGAAATACATTCTTCTTTCTTCTATCTTCTATTTATCCCACGATGATTTCCTGAAACACAAACAAAGCAATATCAAATCAAATTATAATAATTCTTAATTGTTACTTCTATGAACCTAAAACTTCCATAGGAATATACTCTGTAACAGAAACCTGTTTAATAGATTAGTAAGAGAACAAACAAAACAAAACAAGTAAAACTACAAATACTACAACTACAGGCAAGTGCAGTGAGAAAGTAAAAATAGTGCATAATATACGAGGTTACTTTGACTCTAAAATGTATTCGTCGCGAAATATCTTCTTGCACGTCAATCTAATGATATATTTTAATAAGTAAAGAAAGACTTTGGGTATCTGCGATATCGAAGATACCCAAAATCGTCAACTCAATTATGAAAGTGAATTTAATTATTGAAGAATGTAAAGAACAATCGGAAGCTACTAATTTGACACTCATTCTAAAATTAATATAATTATAAGTATTATAAAAGATATTAAAATCATGACTCTACTTTCGATTGATATTACGATATTTGTCATATTAAAAATTGCGGCGTGTAAAAACATCGCACGCTTAAATAAAACGCGACGCGACGCGTGCTCATAGCGTGCAGTGAGTGTGGGTATCAGATTGATCCCCCCCGGCCTTGATTATCAGAAAAGCAAGTCGCGCCCCTGACCCACGTCTATCGGGCCTCTCTACGTACAACCGCCGGGCCCTGGAGGACACACGGTCACAACAGGACCCGCTTAGTACTCGAGAACGGATATGGGTCAAGAACTCTCACCGGAGGTCATTCTCTTTTCCGTATAAAGAGGAGAATATATGCGCTCGGTGAGGCCCCACTTAAGCTGAACCAAGCTGCACCGGGGTTGAAGCGGTAAGAGCTATCACACCTAATACACAGGCGTCACATGTTTCATTCTATCAAACAGAGGTGATCGAGCAAAACTCTCCGGTCCTTTCGGTCGAGACATAATCTCGGAAAGCGAGAACCAGAGAACGAGCGAACGAGAGAAAGTGAACTATTCATATATGTATACGTACTCATTATATATTCATTTTAAAATCAGTGTCAAATTAAAAATGAATCTACTATGACATTTGTCATCTTAAAAATCGCGGTGTGCAAGAAGATTATAATTTTAAGCAAAAGGTACTAACTACACTTGCCAAAGAAAGCACGTATACAACCAGTTGTTTTACCCCTTTGCCTTACGATTTAATTTCCAACTGTGCCAAAAGCGTCAGCAAGGTTTGGCCCGGTAGACTTATCATTTCTCTGAGACGTCTTGTTCATGTTTGGCCTGGTAGACTCATCAAGTCTCTGAAACATCATGAAGCTAAGGTATTAAAAAGGAGGTTTTTAAACACTTAAAAATGACCTATCAACCTATCACCTAGCTTAAAAATAAAAATTCATGATATTGTATACAAACAAATATAGTATATGATCGAAAACAATGTTACATTAATATATCCTGCAATATTATACATATCGAAGCAATCACATAAATTCGAAGAACAATGTAAAAGTGGAAACCGAGAAAAGTAACATTCATAGTAACCAAATAAAATCAGATAGATAAATGAAGTTGAATTCACATCAAACAAACAAATAAAAATAATAAAATATAAATAAGTGGAGTGGACTTACTACTTGTTGTCAGTACATAGGGTAGTTACCAGTGGGTCAGCTGTAAAGTAAGAAAATATTCATATTATAGCAACGTCAGTTAGGCAAGCAAGGCAAAATCAGTTCAGTGAAGCGAAATTGGTATCAAACGATAGAATAGAAGAGGGGACAGAATTTTTAAACAGTTCTTACCGTAGTCATCACCGTCCGGCACCGGTCAGTAGTGGTCAGTAGTGGTCAGTAGTGGTCAGTAGTGGTCAGTAGTGGTAGGAGCACTAGTCAGAACTGGTCAGTAGTGGTCAGTACTGGTCAGCCATGGTCAGCCATGGTCAGCGCTGGCCAGTAGTGGTCAGCAGCGGCCAGCAGAGGTCAGCAGCGGTCCCCAGTTCACTTCTAGCCACTTGTACACTCCCGAATTCGCGACGAGACTGAAGAATTCTTCGCAGTGACCCTGCTTATATGATTAAAGTGATGAAAGGGTGGGGAGACCAGTCAGAGCCAAAGTTAAAGTTAACAGTTACGACTGTCTTGTCTACAGAGAAACTATTTCGATTGGTCCCATCTCTTGACCATTTCTGGATCTTCACTGGACCGCTGATTTTGATGTCAACCTTACTATTGACCACTAGTGACCATAAGCTTGTCATTGTTAATCATCGACCCATTAAAACCATTACGAAGATTAAAGCCTTCTTACGAGGATCCCCTTACAATTTGATGCATGATCTTTTTAACATTTTGTTCCACTTTGGAAGAGTGTATCTCGTTAATTTTTGTCTTTTTGTACGTCAGTTCGAACAAGTGCCATACGTAAGTGAAAAATTCGGAAGTGATTTTAGCGTACTCTTCTCATGGATGGCGGTCAGTTGAGAAACTATTCACTGAATTAGTATTGATAGGCAAAGAGCTGTAGTTTTGCGTAAATCCATGTGAGTTGACTATGGAAGGGATTAAAATTCATTTCTGAAGAAAAAATACATTAGGTGAAAGGTCTACTCGTATACCTCGTCTGTAATAGAACTATGCTCAGTACAAAAGTACTGAATCTTTACCATCCATACCCTGTTTTTCCAAATCTTACTTTACAAAACTCAGCACTCCAAATTGATCAACTAAGAATGCAATTGTAAACACTAACATCAAGAACACTACTGATGTAAAACCTATACCCAAACCATCTCAGGATAAAGAGAAATCTGAATTGGCCTGAACAAAATAATAGCAATCTGTCTGTATTTAATTAACAAAGAGAGATTTTAGAGTTACAGATTTGGTGCAAAATGGGGTGCAAAAATACACTTATACGTATAGATGAACTAGGAACTTGCAAGATAAAATTTAACAAGTGCTAATTATTACAGATATGAAAATTCTCAGTCTAGCATTTCTACATGTCAATTTAATTTATTTATAATAGTTTCTATTGTTGTCGTCAAAAGACATCGTCAATATATGCTTTCCAACACTGTAATGTGTATTGTTAATTTCTATCTCTCCCTATGCGTACTTATAGTTTTACATGGTATTAAACGTATCATGCATTAACATTGGATTATATTCATCGATTTATTAATTAAATTTAGTTCAAATTGTGGCGCCATTTATGGTAGAGCGTCCAAGTCTGTCGCAAACTAGTGCGTTGTCTTCAACGCTAGATGGCAACACTGGACTAGCATAAAAAATTGTGTAGGCGTCATCTACAACAAAACGTCCAAACTTGTCGAGAAATACTATATTATCTAGCATTGATTAGAACGTACTATTTCTCGACAAACTTGGACGTTTTGCCGTAGATGGTGACTCAATTTGGATTAAATGTAATTAATAAATCGATAAGTGTAATCTCAAGTTAATTTATACGACTCTTAACGCAATGTAAAATTATGAATTCGCATAGAAAAGGATATAAATTAGCAATACATGTTACAGTGTTCGAAAGCATATGCTGAGGGCGAAGTTTTTATAAATAAATTAAGTTGGTGAGTAATAATACTAGAATAAGAATTTTTATACTTGTAATAATTAGCACTTGTTCAATTTTAAATCTGCAAAATTCAATCTTGCAAGTTTCTAGTGCAATTATATAAATATATTTTTGTACCTATATGTTAGTTATCGTTTAAAATTTATTGACTTAGGATCCATACATTAGCTATGATGTGAACGGAGGCGACAACGACCCTCTACCGCGATACGAAATATCAGGTGAGTATTGCATTATTTAACACAAATTTATTCATTTCTTTTATTTTTTTTTTTTAAATCTCGATCTAAGGAATGTCGATCCGAGTTGTTTCTTTCAAAAAGGTTATGGGACACTCACATGACCTTTTAATTTCACTTATGAAACGTGCATAATGTAGTTTTGTACTGTGTTGAACGTTTAATATATTTGCAAGTTTTATGGATGTTTTACTTGGATCTTCTTCTAGTATATGGAAATACGCAATATCCGACATTTCATATGCACCGACCTAATACTGTAACTTCCAGCCATTTTAGCCAAAGTTAAGTGCAGTTCGTGCGGGGGCGATTCAGAAAGTTCGCAGAATGAAGGAACTATAAAGGTTTGAAGTTTTATTGGAGTTAATAGTTCTATTGCGTCCACCGTTGTTGTAAAAATAGAAGAATATTAACACTAAACATACCATGACCGGTCAAACGACCATTTTCTAAATTTCGGTTAGAATTTCTAACGTACAATATTATTTTAGCGCTATTTAACTTCAGGACTTTTCTTATAATATGCGTATAATGAATTTTTCAATATTCACTTTCATTCTTATTGTTTGTTTTCTGAGAAAAATATGTAGTCTGTCTTGCCTACCACGACCAGTCATCTGACCAACTGAACCGGATAAAATTTGGTAGAAATTCTGGTTAGCTTGAGATGTAAGTAGGAAATATATAGTACAAGATGAAAGGAGAGTGTGGCGTCGCCTCCCAAGCTCGCCACCAGAGGGGTTGCGCTCTCACAAGCGCTCGACTGACTGAGAATCTTCAGTTTCACTTAAGGAGCTTGTTACTTTGAAATTAGTAGGATATTAAAAATAGTCAAACTTTGCATGCGTGCAGGTCTAAAACTACTAGTGCTTTATCCACATTTGAACCGCCATTAGAAGCGGCAAAGCTTCCCCTTTGAAATGGTTCTTGATTTTTGTCGATCCGACTTTCCGTTTTCGAGATATCGTAATTTAAATGAAAGCGTAATTTTTTAAATTCCACTGACTCTCGCTTCCCGTCTTACGGAAGTCCATTAACGCGTATTAAAAATGCTAAGAACTTTAAACACGTGCATTTCCCAAACTACTAGTGATTTATTAATAATTGAGCCATTGTTAGCGGCGGCAAAGCTTCCTCTTTAATATGGTTTTTGGTTTTTGACGATCCGACTTTCCGTTTTCGAGATATCGTAATTTATGTAATATGTAATTTTTTTGATTCGACTATCTCTGTCTCCGTCTGATGCGTCGCGCCGGACCTCTCTTTCTCGTACGTGACTCGTGACCGAGTGGTCGAGTGACCTAGTTACTACGAGTCACGTGTGGTCAACGACCTTAACAAGACCGTAGTAAGAAAGTAAACAAACGCTTCGGACAGTTATATCTCCGTAACTAGCCACCGTATCGACTTGAAATTAAAATTGCTATATCTCCGGAACTAATAAAGCTATCGACTTGAACGAACGCTCATTTTAAAGGGCATTTCATCCCCTATGTAATGAATATATTACCTACTATAATTTATGCCATCTTCTATGCTTATTTTGCAATTTACTTTGACGCTACATACCCAAAGTAGCTTCAGCAACTCTTATTGATCATACGACTGGTATGCGACACAACTGGATTACAGATTGTTTATTTAATTGAAAATGAATCTAAATTTGTATAGGAGATGTTTCCGTAATTACCAGCTCGCATTTGTTCGTAAATAATGTTTTTATGGAACTAACTACGGTATCGACTTGTAACGAAATCCATTTTCATGAGTGTTTTATCTTCTACCCTATGAAAATTGAAATTTTTTGAATGAAGTCAAAGTACTAATGCACATTTAGAGCAGAAGCATTGAATATCTTCTTACAAATTTTTAAAATACTCGCTTTAAGTAAAAATATGCGACGTAAAAGAGGAAGGTATCTTATAAATAAACTTCAAAACGCAACTGTCTATATATATAATGCAAAAGTTAGAAGTACCTTGCCTCGTAAAAGAGAATAAGACTGGTCATTTGACCGATCTTGGTAGAAATGGGTATACGTGAAGGGTCGGTAGGTTTAGTGTTAACTATCTACAATTAAAGTACAATTAAAATAATAAATAAACGCGCGTAATACTGCTCCAATCCATCATGAAAGAAAGATACTATCACCTTGTTCATTCGTTCCGCGAACTTCCTGCACTTCCTCTCCCGCGAGTCCCGACAGTTTTTAAAGTTTCCCGATACGGACGTTTTCAACATTAAAGGGTACATAAAAATTTATATCCGACCGAGCCGGGCTTCCCCTCGGATTCTCAGCCCCGGCGTAAATATTGCACGCGATGTAAACCTCTGAAACGGAAAATCCTACAACCACCGCGAGTCGAGGTTGCTTCTTCGAGGCACCGACGCGGCCGGTTCGATCATGCATTGCTTTTTCATGCGTCGCTGCGACAACAACCCCAAGGGATGAACGGTCACGGGACAAGATGCGCCGGGGAGATAGCGATGGAGGCGAACAACCGGAAGTGCGGCGTAGGCGTCGCGTTCGAGGCCTCCGTAGGCGGGATCAAGCTCCTCGACGGGGTGGTCAACGATCGCGTCGAGGGGGAGGCGCTCGGCTACAAACCGGAAGCAGTGGACATCTACACCGCCTCGTGGGGGCCCGCGGACGACGGGAAAAGCTTGGAGGCGCCGGGAAGACTGGCCACGGAAGCCCTACAAAGGGGCATCACGATGGTCTGTATCCAGAAATCAACCCTTAATTTTCAAGAATTTTTCACACGTAACTACGAAACTTTTTCTGACAAGTGTTTACTATTTTCGAAAGTACGTTTCTTGAACTACTTCTTGTAGAAATTTCGTATAAAAATATTAATTATTATGGCCATAATTTGAACCAACGTGAAAGGCAAAAGTTTGTTAAAAACGGGCGGAAGTGTAATTTTTCACTGGAAATCATGCAATTTTCTTAAACTATAAGACAATAATTCTAACAGATTATTTATCAAAAAACAAAGGTTCGTAACGGAAAGATTAAAGCAAATCTTATTCGGATCCAAGCTCCGTAAGCCAACGGGCAGCTTGACAATGGCGAAACCCCATTGTCGCCGGGTACACAACAAGAGAATCGTACAATAAACCGCCCTGGGGGCCTTAAGAAAGTCACTATATTTGTTTCATGCACTATACCTCGCGAACGTATTGACTGTGGAACAATAGACGGGTTATTTCCAGCGCGAACAAGCCGGCTCGCTTATGTTCGTCGCTTCACGAAAGAGGGGAAGTTTGTTGTTTTCGAGAAAATTGATTTTTAAAATTCATCTGGCACGCGTGCGTTGGGAGAAATAAATAAAACTAACATGTCGAATCGTCTACGATCTCTGTCCATTATTTGTTCTGTCTACTTGTGCCGTTACAACAGCTTCGGGCCATGCGCTTCCATCTCGCTGATGCAACTTCTGATTAAATGCTCGTACCTACTTCTCGAAATATAGTATTTCACATTGGAAATAGTTCTAGATATTATTAAAGAGTTCTTGTCCCTGTATTGCTGAGTGTTTGTTGCTTTTTGTCTAAATTAGTAGGCCATCAGCGAGAACAGGTTTATTCCTATTATTGTTGAGTAAATAGATATACATAAATGTCGAATTTAGCGTTTTTTGTTGCAAATGCAAGCCCTGTCTTAGGTTTTGTAACATTTTACAGTCTCTCAAGAAGCATAAAAACATATAGAAATAGGCGATGGATCGAGTACTTGTGAGAAAGCGTAGCCCTCTGTTGGCGAGTGCAGAAAGCTTCATTTTCATGGTACCTTGTTGCACTCCTCGTTGAAATTTCTTCAACCCTTTGCACTTCGAATTATATTTCAATTTTGTTACCAGCAGCTCCCAACATAAAGTAAAGCAATTTAAACAAGTAGAGAAACAAACAAATTCAATTAAATATCTGTTTTATTTACACTATTGTAGTATTTCGTAATTTTTAAGTGTACGATATCTCTTTGGTTTGGACTTGAAAAAGGAGCTCCTGAGATAATAACTGAGTGCAAATGGTTAAAAAAAACAACTTAAATCCGTTTTCTCAGTCGTTCCCACTGAAATTTTCCGGGTATTGTTAATTCGAGAAAGCGCGTTTCGCGAAATATACAACGAAGAATGAATGGCACGGAAAGGGGGGGAAGCGAAACTCGATGCAATATTTATGTCGCGGATGCATATTCATCGGGACTCCCTACGACGTTGTTTTACCGAACCTATCGCGAAAATATCTTGCGAAAGCTAATATTTACAGTCACTTTCGCGATACGACGGTGTTATCGATTTTATCGGGCAATTGTTTAGGGTCGCGGCGGCAAGGGAAGCGTTTACGTGTGGGCTTCCGGAAACGGAGGCTCGAAATCGGACGATTGCGGATGCGACGGATACGTAGGAAGCATTTATACGATCGCTGTAGGATCGGCCAGCCAAGCAGGAAGATTCCCATGGTACGGCGAAAGTTGCGCGGCGACAATGGCCACCACGTACAGCAGCGGCGCTTATCACGATCAAATGATTGTGAGTATCCTGTCGCAGAAATTTTATCGACATAAATATCAACCACTCGACGCACAATGGCCTATTTTGACGAAAAACTGGCCAAAATATGAAGGTGCCTTTTGATTTGTACGAGAATTGGTATTCTCTAGGGTTTTCAAGCGCAAAATAAAAATATCAAAAAACAAAATCGGTCAAAAATGGTGGATGGATGTTTTACAAAAGTATTGTAATGGCCTGAAAATTGGTATCCTTGAGTTTTCGAGATCGTTGATTATGGATCTAAAAAGGGAAATTTCAAAAAACAAGGTCAGAACGTTCGAGTATTTTAACAAAAATGGTAATATTGTAATTAAAATTGAAAGTAATGACTAGACTTTGAAATGAAAACTGCTATTTTACTGATTACAGCCTTTATTTTTAGTCAGATTCGAATTCTGATAAATGTGATCACTATCACATAGTATGTTTAGAACTTTGACAAGAATCTGTTTTTTTATTTTTTTGGGAATTGTGCTCGAAAGTGTTATAGTGGATATGGAATCATATTTTTTATTGCATCAATTGATGGTCCTTGATATTCTTTACAAAAAAAGTATTAATCTATTTATGTTAAAAAATCATTAGTTTAGAAGATATTTGAATTTGAATTTCGTTAGAAAATCGTGACACTTTCGTCAATATTACGAATTTAATAAACATTACAGGACACTTTCTGCATCGATAATATTTGCCTTCTTACTTGATGCTTTCTTTACAATTTTATTCAGCGGCGCTATGAAATATTTGAGAATAGTTCAATTTTAAAAATAAGTTGTATGCTAACTACCATGATCAATATGAGAAATCGTATTATCACTGAGTGCAATAAAATAACACTAGATACATTAGACAGTATGAGTGTGTCATAAACCTATCTATTCGGAAAATATAAATAAAATCATTACAACATTAACAAAGGAGTTATAATTTCTTACTAATTTCCAAAACTAATGATTTTGTATCATAAATAAGTTAATATATTTTTGTACAGAATATCAAGCAGTATCAATTGATGCAATAAAAAATATATGATTACATTTAAAAAATCGTTGATGACCTTCATATGTCTAAAAACTAGTATCATCTCGAAACTTTGTATAAGACTTGTGGCGTTGCTTCTCATGCTCGCCACCAGAGGTGTCGCGCTCTCACAAGCGCTCGACCGACCCCTCGGTTGTTATAAATACATTCCTCGAACAACTTCCCAATATCTAGAAAGTCTTACTGACGAGTCCACTAGCAGATCCTCCTACGAAAATTCTCACGAGATCCTACCCAAAGCGAAGCAGCGCCACAGACTCAATGACGAATAAGAAACCTCACGATTAGACCGTGGATCTTCATGTAAATTCATATTTTTATCAATAAAATTAACAAAATTGGAGCTTTCTAGAGTGTTGTCTCAACCCCTAAATATAATAATTCGTATCTTACTTTAAGTATTTCTTACATTTTTGCATATTAACTACATTCTGTAGTTTTCTCAGAATTGAAATTTCATGATTGACGTCAAAAACTTGTGACTACTCAGACTCATCGTTGTAAAGAGTTCTATTATTCGAAATAACACGTAGAACACGTTCGTTCTGAACTATGAATCCCGAATGATTATATTTTTGTCTGAATTATAGAGAACATTAACGAAAATTTGTTCATTCGATTCCGCGGTGGACGATTTAAAGCAAGTTTTGCCGAACTTCCGGTTAACGAAATAAACCGAATGCAGTTTACTGGTCGAGTAAATAATTAAACGAATTCCGTTGCCGTGTTTCCAGGCGACTACGGACCTGAAGAACACCTGCACGACGCGACACACTGGTACCTCGGCGTCCGCGCCATTAGCAGCTGGAATATTGGCCCTGGCTCTGCAAGTAAAGTACGTAACTCGCCTAATGATAACTCGAGTACCCCAGCTACCTCGAAACTTTTGCCTCGCTATCTCAGTCTTATCATACTTTCGACCAAAGTTCGTCCAATTCGAAAGAAGGGTCATTAGAATTATCAGCCTCCCTTCATCAAAGAACTCGCCTCTATTAAGCTTCCAACTTAAGTTTTCAACAAGGTCCCAAAGATTCCACGAATTTTCGATTAAAAAGGCGGTTTCGAAGTAATCTGCTTGCTATTTTTAAAGCGAAAATCTCTCGTGGAGGGACGTGCAGCATCTCATCGTGTGGACCTCGGAGTACAGCCCCCTCAGGTGAGACAATAAATATCAGAATTAAAAGAATAATTATATAATATATAAAAAATACTAGAAATACAAATATATAAGAAATAGTTAAAGTAACGTATGAGTTATTATATTTAGGGGTTGACAACCCTCTACGTAGCTCCTATTTCATTAATTCTATTAATCTTTTGACTGCGGCGCGTCCTAGGAAGAATCCATCAACATAGATGGCGCGATCGTCACATGCCTGTCGCTGCGACTGGTGACCAAAAAAGTACCCGGATACTTAAGAGACCATTCTTACGGTTTAAAAAAATAATAAATGCAAATAAATTAAAATATCCAATTTTTATCCAATTCCATATCGAATCAATTGGTAAAACAGTAAAAGGTGTTATAGTAAAAAAAATACAGAGGGCGTAAATTTACGCTTTTCGTATATATTGATAGACTTGTGAAAGCGTATATATACGCCTTTAGCAGTCAAAGGGTTAATAGAAATACGAATTTACATAAAGATCCACAGTCTAGTAATAATAAAATAGACACGTTGTATACGTTTAAATACATTTGTCTGGAAAGATCGCGTTTCCAAAATCAAACGATAAATTGAAATTCGAATTACTCAAACCCGAAATACCAAATGTTATTTTGGCCTAATCGAGACGAGTAGAAATCTTTATTCATGCATCCACGTGCATGATCCGACGATTAGGCATGCCCGTATGTGTCACCGAGCCTGTACGGTTAATTATACACCGTCGTTTGGTTAATTAGAGAAATTTGTATTAATCAAAGGCAAACTGCGCGCGAATGGTGAATACCGAATAATAAAATTATCTCTCTGTGCTCGAATAACGCACCGACAGAATTAAATTCTTCGATTGCAATAAATACACAGAGAGCGTGCACGTTTCGTTTCGAACAATCGAGACGCCTCTATTGATTTTTGTACTTGATTAACAACGTAAATCCGTAAACCAATTTTTCAAACGCTCGAGCGAATATTACACACGTTGGAAGAACTCGTGCCGCACGAACAGTTGAACGTAAACTCTTTGGTCTCGGGGCTGAATAAACTGTGTAATTATGCACCGTGGAAAAGAATTTTGTCGTACCTCGGTTATATTCAGGGTACATTTTACGATTGTTCGCGGCAAAAGATTCGACCTGGAGTGCTTTTCGCCAGGACGGTTTTTCGGTTGGTTCAATACGCGGTACCCGTTGGCAACGTTTCCACGGATTTTCCTCTCCGGGAGAACCTTTTTCTCCATTCATCGAGGCGCGGAGAAAGAAGGCTGGGAGACGAGTCGATCGTGCATTCTGCTCGCCGGGCATCGCGAATCACGCTGGATTAAAGTATCGCGTCATTCTTATTCGCCCCGCGACCGATGGGAATGTAGGTCGTGTCGTTTCAACGAGAAACAGTAATTGAGGTGAAACGAACAGGAAGGAAGGAAGGATCCCTCGCTTTCTCTGGTAAAAATAACACGTCGGTTGGCTCGTTCCGTACCGCGGCCGATCGTCTGTCAGGGTTACAACGCGGCTGCGCCATTCAAACAACGAGCTTTCTACTTGCCTTCCCTTGATGGTTACCTCTGCTAGATCGGGTTGTTTATGATCTCACGGTTACTGCATCTGCGAACAATTAGAAGCATCGTCACGATCAACGAACCTCCTCGTTTCCTCTTAAGTGGGAAGATTCAAGTAAAATGGTAAAACGAGAAGTTATATGTGACAATTTTTTTACAGCATATAAGGGTTCGATGAAACTTTTCGCAACTTTCCACATACAGGGTGTTCGATCATGACTGGAAAAAATTTTAATGGGAGATTCTAAAGACCAAAATAAGACGAAAATCAAGAATACTAATTTGTTGATGGTGACTTCGTTAAAAACGTATTAACGCTGGCTTTAGGGGGTTTATCTATTCACTAAAAATGATTGTAATTGACCCACGTAACCAAGAATAATTTTTTCAGAATGATTTGAAATTCTTTTTTTCGCCGAAAAATTTAGGCACCTACCTCAATTTTTCGCTTTGTTTGACGCCCTACAGAAAAGTTGTCTAATACTTTTTTGTAGATACCCATGGGCTTTGCTTCAGAACAAAATTTCAATGAGATACCTTTACAACTGTAAGAGTTATGGCCGTTTGAAAATTGGACTAGTTTCAGGAGGTTTTTCTCACTTTACGGTGTCAAGGAACAACTTTTTCAATATTGTTAGAATTTCTACATATTCTCCACTAAAATACGTGTTGTTTGCATTTTGAAAAATTAAAATCCTCCAATTCGTTCAGGAGTTATGACATTTTACAGATTTGCATGAAATTTCAGGGAAGCATTTCTGGCCTCACATTAGATTTTCGGTAAAGAATTTTTTTCTCGAAAGTGCGTAGGATTTCGGGGTATGTCTATTCACCAAAAATTATTGAAATTGACCCCCGCGGCCGAAAATAATTTTTCCAGAATGATTTGAAATTTTTTTTTCGCCAGAAATTTAGGCACTGTCGATTTTTCTTAAAAATTCGTTTTTTAGTTTTAGTAATTATGTCTGACACCCTATGGAAAAATTGTTTATTTTCTTTTTTGTAGGTACAAATGAGCTCTACTTCAGAAAAAAGTTTCATTGAAATATATTTACTATTATAGGAGTTATGGCTGTTTGAAAATTAGACCATTTTATTGGAGTTTTTTCTCACTTTACGTGGTTAAGGAGCAACTTTCCAAATATTTTTGGAATTTATACATATTCTACACCAAAATACGCGTTGTTTGCCGTTTGAAACATTAAAATCGTCCAATCCGTTCAGGAGGTATGATATTTTAAACATACGCAGTAAATTTCAGGGAAATCAATCAACGTATGGTCAGACATAGTATATTTTCGGTAAGGAATTTTTTTCTCGAAAACGCGTAGGAATTCGGGGGTATGTGTAATGACCAAAAATTATTATAATTGACCCCTGTAATTAAATATAATTTTTTTAGTATGATTTGAAATTTTTTAATTCGTCTCAAAATTTCAGTACCTACTCGAATTTTTTTCTCGAAAGTGGGTAGGATTTCAGGGGTATGTGTATTCACCAAAAATGGTTGTAATTGAGCCCCATAACCAAAAATAATTTTTTCAGAATGATTTGAAATTGTTTAATTTAATTTTTAATAACTTTTTATCGAAGTCTCAGTCAAAAATTTGATATTCTTGATTTTCGTCTTATTTTGGCCTCTAGAATCTCTCATTAAAATTTTTCCCAGTGATGACCAAACACCCTGTATATTTTTTAACATTTCAAAATGCAAATATTTCTTTTTCGTTACGTTTTATCGACTTTGGATGAAATAATAAATGTTATTCCTTCTAAAATAAAAAATCGAACGACAGACCCTTAAACTATACGAAAATATTTTTTTAGTCCGTTTCTTATTATCATTTATTAAACCCTATTCGACTAACCATAGTTGGTATGCAATGTAGCATTCATCAAACGAGAAACTTTCTTAACCTTTTAGTGGATTATTGTTTAATGTATGTAAATGCAATTTAAAAATTAATGTAATCCTCCATTAGTTCATTATTTTATAAATGCTTTAAAGGAAAGTGGATTTCCATTTACCAATTTAGTAAAATAATACAGTTGAGATTGAGACTCCATTTAAGGGTTAATTCAGGGGGTATTCTCGTGTAACGGCGTTAAAAGCGAATCACCCCTTAAATAATTGTGACGAAATGGAAGACGTTTCATAGGAAAGTCGACAATATTACGAGCAAAGTAGATTCGAAACAGGTACGAAGTTAAATTAACTGGTCGTCGTTGGGGCGGGATATAGGCCCCCCCCCCTACCCTGCGTGTAAAAAGGGATTACTCTGTAGTTGGCTGGGGACCGTTTTATTTTACGTGCGTCGTTCTTCTTTTCACGCCGGGGAGCCCAGTAATTGCGTCAACTTTCAGGCAGAATCCAGGCTGGTTCAGAAACTCCGCTGGATTTTGGTTCAACTCACGTTTCGGCTTCGGACTTATGAACGCGTACGCGCTGGTCACGGCGAGCTCCAATTGGACCAACGTGCCGGGGAAAACCATCTGCAAAGTGAACGTCGCCAGAATGTGAGTCCATCGAAACGAAAACTTTAACGTAAATAATATTCTGTTCGATGTCAGAACGTGAAGTAGCTTTTTACTAATCGTAAAACGTTTATACTAGATACGTACAGTGGCAGACATATGCTTACGAACAAGTGTTAAGGTTCTGTTGTTTGTAATAAAACATAGGAAAGGTATGAATTAATTAGTACTGTGTTTTTTTAATAACATAACTATGTTTACGATCGCTGTAAATTACACTGAAAATGTTTTGAGTTACTTATGGTTCTGGACTTATACTATGTCCGCTACTAGAGGACACCTAATGATCTGTTCCAATTCTACATCAATGTTAACCAAAGTTTCAGTGAACTGTTATAATAATATTATTTGTTTTGTTGCTTTATATTGATTTCTAATATTGTTAAATTATAAATAAAACGATTCATCTTTCCTTCGATAGGACCAGTAATTAATTAACTTAAATTATAAACAAGGTAACAATAGAGTCATTCTTGCGTTTCGTCTTACGGAGAGTTAAAACTGTTAGAACAAGTGAGGTTTATGAAACAACGCATTTATAGCTTATAATATGTAACTGTCTTGCTAAAAAATGCACCACAATGGATCTTGCATGTTAAGCACTCCAGGCTTGCCACCAGGTGTCGCACAAAACCGTACATGTGGATCGCCATCATTCACCAGATGCCTCCACAAGCTTTTCCTATTTTAAATTTATATTTCAACAAAAACAAAGTGTTATTTAAAGTGTTATGTAAGAAATACAACAGAGAATAATAGTATATGTTGCTCAACATGCAATAAAAATAAAACGATTTAAGTAAGAAAGCTTTCCATAACAAAATAGCAATGAAAGTGCGATTATTCGTAAGTATATGTCCGCCATTGTGTGTACAGCTTCCGTACGGACGAAGAATTTGTCAGATTTCTAGCACGTAATCGTAGATACGCGTTCGTTAATCGATAATATTGGCATAGTTCGCTACATCCGAACTCACCACACGCGAGCACAGCGCACGTAGGATTTACCTCTCATGGTCCATTTGGATTACCACAGGTCGAACGTGATTCCCGTGCGGTGCCTCCAACGACGAATATTTGAACGAACTGCGGTTATTTATAACATTCCCATCGGAAAACCCGCTTTCCCGACAGCCTTATTCCTTATGTCTATATTTTTATATAACCGAAAACTAAATCCGAACGAATAAATTATTCGCGTTTAAACGACTGTTATTATTAGCTAAAACATGTGTCGTTCGGAGCTCAAATATTAACGATAGATTTACGGACATCGATCGCACATATTTTCATCGAAACTCTTTACGTTGACGATCACATCAAAATGCAGAGTTTTCTTTAAGAAAGTATATTCGTAGCATTAACCCTTTGCACTCCTTTATCGAGTCCCACTCGACATTTTTTCAAGACCAAAGATATATCATACAGTCAAAAATTGTAAATTACAACGATAGTGTAAATAAAACAGATATTTAATTGAATCTATTTTTTAGAGCAATTTAACGTAAATTTCAAATAAAACACTTAAAAGCGTTGGGAGGTGTTGGTAACAAAATTGAAATATAGTTCGGAGTGCAAAGGGTTGAAGAAAGTTGAACGAGGAGCGCAACAAGGTACCATAAAAATGACGTTTTCCGCACTCACCGACAGAGGGCTACGCTTTCTCACAAGTACTTGACCGATCGCCTATTTTTATATGTTTATATGCTTCTTGAGAGACTGGAAAATGTTACAAAACCTAAGACAGGGCTTGCATTTGCAACAAGAAACGCTAAATCCAACGTAAATTGCTAATAAATAATAATTATAAATTTCATAACCGTAAGTATGGAATCTGACGCCTGTCAAACTGAAGTGTTCCGTAAATCGAAAACATCGTTCACATACTAATTCATTGTGCAATATATTCCTCTTTACCCCTTTCGATAGTTCACATTTTCAACTGAAAAATCGCAACGACGGTGTGACGCGTACTTTCTTTTAAAAAGAGGAATCCCTTTGACGTTTCACGAAATTGGCAAAAAATTTTTCAGCGACAAAGAAAATTACGAGTTGCGTTCTCGGTGTTTCCAAGGTGCTTCTTTCAGATCGCGGGAATAAAGAGCAGAACGATTTGCGCGGTTCGATGCTGAGGACGCTTTAAATTTCTCGCGATGAAAGAGCGTATCGGCCCTCCGGGTCGTCCTTGTTCCTTAAAAAGCGCAGCAAAGCTCGGTGACTTTAGGTCGTTAAATTCTACATGCCTAAGAGAGCACTTGAACCACTCGTTGCAGCACCGTGGGGAAGTTGAAAAAGTGGAACGTCCCGACAGATTTTTCGTGCCTTGGTTGACCGTTCCTTTAAAAGAAAATGTATCTTTCCGTGCAACGCGATCTCTACTGTCAACTAACTGCTTTATGAAACGTATTTAAGCTGGTTGAAATCCCCCGCGGTGACCTCAGGCGACATCCCTCGACGCAGGGACGTCTTCCGGTTGATATTTCAGAATGATCCCCAATAATCTCCTCCACTCGTCGAATAGTTTCCGCATTCACGACCGATCGTGGTCTCCCGGTTCGTTAAAGGTCACTAATTCCACCCTATTGTCGAAAACGTGCCACCAAACGATTAATCGTCCACTCGGATGGCGATACTCGAACGTTAAAGCGACAACGGTATGCTCTGTCTAGGTCGTAATAATTGATCGTTGACATTCAAACTGCAATTCGATTATCTCGACTCGCTGTTTTGTCACGTAGACTTCGGTGACTGATCTCTCGAGACTTTTCTACAAATTTTTAAAAAGAAAAAAACAAATAATTAAAGTATAAACCAACGATATCGGTCGTATTACTGATCGTTGACGTTCAAAGTACAATTCGATTATCTCAACACAATTTACAAGTAAGCAACGACGTAGTGGAACGGGCTGAGAAACAGAATATCCTACAAATTGTAACAGAATATAAACAGGGTTAATATAGACAAAAAGACACTAACAATAAGTCAAAATTTCTAATAAATATGAATATTTGCAGAGTTATTCCTAGTGTCTTGTACTCGATAGGTGGTTCGAAGAAACCCCTTTTCACAGAGTTTCAACTCGATATCTCTACTACAGGGGTAATAACGGGGTGAAAATCAGTTTTTGGTTTATCCTTAATATCTCCCGTTCTGCTCAATTAAAAATTATGAAAAAAATCATGGTTATTCTATCGATTGATGTACATGGTCGAGAAATTTTTCAGAATTTTTGGATGCAAATTCGATTTTTAAAAAATTCGAAAATATTTTAACCGGCGATTTTTTGTCGAAGTTATCAAGTGACCACGTCTGTTTTTATACAGTATAAAGCTCTCAAAATAATTAGTAATCTCTAATTTTTTCAGATTTTTCGAAGGGGTGGAACGTAGTCAAAAAAATAAAAAATAATTAAAATATGGTGAAAATGTTTTATATTCCCTTAATTACTTACGTAAATGTGTTCATATTTTTACAGCTATAGCGTAACATTATGACTATTGATGCGTAATTTTTTCAGATTTTTTGGAAAAATTATTAAAGAATTATTAATTCATATTTCCTAATTTTTCATACGAGATATTAAGGATAAACCAAAAAATGATTTTCACCCCATTATTACCCCTGTAGTAGAGATACCGGTTTGAAACTCTGTGAAAGGGGTTTTTTCGAACCACCTATCGAGTGGTATTAATCCCGTTCAATTTGGTTCTGGGGCACTTTTACCATACTTATTCGACTAAACCCTTTCCAAAAAGGAAAAATAGATGATTAGAGAAAAAACAAATTATTATATGCCTACTATAAGTGGGTCGCTAGTATCGAGGAATGTTTAAAGTACCAGAATCGGCTGTCGGGGCGGGAACGTGGTTGGATGTTGACAGTTAATATTCCAGGATGCTGCAACAAGTTCTATCGACATGGGACGTACGCGAATATAACTCGCGATTAATGTACGCGGACGTACCGAAGGAATAAACGTGGCGTTCGGTTTTAGAATCGACAGGAGGCTGGTTTATGGAAATGAGAGGCGACTGCGGTTCGAGGCTGGCGACGAGTGTCGATCGACGGGCAACGAGATAACGTTTTTGGAACACGTGGAGATCGAGGTCAGCCTCGAGTACAGTCTTCGCGGCGCTCTTCAGATGCACCTCGCTGCGCCCTCAGGTACGCTGTTTTCATTTTCAGAGAGCTGACGTTGCTTTGATGTTGCTCGTTGCCTGTAAACGTATCGCGAAACGAAAGTCAAGAAGAAATGTAACGCGAGATGCATTAAGAACAAGCAGACAGACGGGCGAAAAACCTGGTTGGAAACTAATTTAAACTATGGCGAAAGGTGCACCACACACGCTCCTATCGACCTAAATTCTTCTACGCCCTTGTACTAATTCTCTCACTTTTTACTCATTACGATCTCGTTCTGACAAATTTCTCACTGACACACGCGACTTCTTACGTTTCAAATACCACGTTGATATCCTTTTATCGATTCATCTATTGACCAATTATTTTACAAGAAATTAAATTTTTTTACTCTGTTCGTTGCTTTATCAGAAAGCTCACAGTGCACCAGTGTACCAAGCACTGATCTACACTGTGTGTCGTAACTACAAAACCACTCTAAAATTTTTAATTTTTATGTGATGCTGTTAAAATAATGAAAAACAATGTGTTTAGGTTTTGTTACATTATCAATGTTTGTGTATGTAAACTCTTGTCTAACTTCTTTATGCCAATTTAATAGTCGTGGAGACTTGATAAAATTTTGTCTTCTTATATGAGAACTACTTGCTGACTTAATTTCAGTAAGTTTTACTGGAATTGCCCACTGTGTTAAGGATTACACGTTGAGATTTGGGAGAAAGCTTCTTCCTTAGTCCCCCTTTCTTATTTTGTCCATATTAAGCTAAGTGCAATTTCACGTATTTTCATATTACTCTCGTGAAAAGTTAAAATTTTGCCTTTTTCTTGCTCACCTAAATAACTTCCACGTGGCATTATTAACCAAATTAATATTATCACACTTCCAACATACTAGACAAAATAAGACTGACGAAATATTAACAGAAAACAACATTTGAATGCTTGGTTCTATAGATATGAAACAGTAACAAATCAGTTTTCTATAGTTCATTTCTTCAGAATAAATACAATCCGACTGTTTTTAAAGAAACATACAGGGTGTTCAGCCACTCCTGAGAGAAATTTTAATGGGAGATTCTAGAAGTCAAAATAAGACGAAAATCAAGAATATCAATTTCTTGACTGAGGTTTCGTTAAAAAGTAATTAAAAAATTAAATTAAAAAATTTCAAATCGTTCTGAAAAAATTATTTTTGGTTGCGGAGGTCAGATAGAATTATTTTTGATGAATACACATACCCCCGAAATCCTACTCATTTTCGAAAAAAAAATTCAAACAGGTGTTGAATGTTTTGGGTGAAAAAAAAGGAATTTCGAATCGTCTTGGAAAAATTATTTTTAGTTGCAGGGGTCAATTACAAGCATTTTTGGCCAACAGACATACCCCCGAAATCTTACTCAGTATCGAGAAAAAAATTCCTTACCGAAAATAAAATATGTCTGACCATATTTGATTGATTGATTCCCCTGAAATTTAATACGTATGTTTAAAACATCATAACTTCTGAACGGATTGGACAATTTTAATGTTTCAAAAAGCAAACAACGCGTATTTTAGTGGAGAATACGTAGAGATTATGAAAATGTTGGAGAAGTTGTTTCTTGATCCCGTAAAGTGAGAAAAACCCCATATAACTGGTCCAATTTTCGAACAGCCATAACTCGTACAATAGTGAATATATTTCAATGAAACTTTTTCCGAAGGTAGAGCTCATAAGTACCTACAAAAAAGTATTAAACAACTTTTTTGTCAGGTGACAAACAAAATTATTAAAAATCAGAAACGAATTTTTAAGAAAAATCGACAAGTCGGTGCCCTTTTTCGACAAAAACATAAATTTCAAATCGTTCTGGAAAAATTATTTTCGTATGCGGGGGTCAATTACAATTATTTTTGGTGAATAGACATACCCCCGAAATCCTGCGCGTTTTTGAGAAAAAAATTCAGTACGGACGAAACTTTAAACGTTAATAACTTTTTAACAAAGCCTCCATCAATAAATTGGTATTCTTGATTTTCGTCCTATTTTGACCTCGAGAATCTCCCATTACAATTTTTTCCCAGGAGTGTCTAAACGTCCTGTATATTGCTAATCTCAAATATGGTATATTCCGTTTCTTAAAATTCCATCAAGAATGTAAAATTGAAAACTTTATCTCAAATATGGTATATTCCGTTTCTTAAAATTCCATCAAGAATGTAAAATTGAAAACTTTAGTGTGGTTTTATAGTTACGACACACAGTGTAAGGAGTTTTATCGTACAATCATAAATAACGTAAGCACTCAGGTGTTTCCAATTAGGTACTCTACCTACGATTATTGAACGTAGATAGTTTGACAGAAGCATAGTTGGAAAATCGAATGGATTCGGACCACATGTGTCCCGCCTGTTTAACATGCTCGTCGTATTCGCTCGAAGAATACATTTGACTTCGCCGTGAAATATTACATATACAACGCATCGTCGTTTTATTTATCGCCGCTCGTAGCAGATTTTATCCGGAGGAAAATATCTCGAAAATAAGATTTTTACGATGTACACAGATGCGACTGAACCCGCGCGTCTACTACTTGAAATCGATTTCGCGTCGTGTCAAACGTTCTGAAGTGGTAGAACAGTCAGGGGCTGTGGATTTACGATCGTATTAGCCAAGCGACTGTGTTACTGGCATAACTCGACTATCAGGTTTACGGAACAAGTATCTTAACTCCTTGACGTACGATTTAATTCCAAATAATTTTTTACTACACTATTCAATTTGATTTTATACTATTCAATTTTGTTCGTTCGTAAAATGCCCACGAAAGAGAATAGATTTGTTTCACTAATACATCGCGATCATAAAAATGTGTTGATTTTAATATTATTAGTTAATTTTCATTTTATAAAGATTACAAAACTGAAATAGTGTAACCAAAAGTATAAAGCTTCAGTTAACCCTTTATGAACCCATGTAACTTTCAAGTCACGTGCTAATATATCGACGTTTAGTCAAATAATTTTAGTTTTCTCACAAAATATATTTCTTAATTATACAGGGTGTTCGGCCACATCTGGGAGAAATTTTAATGACAGATTCTAGAGGCCAAAATAAGACGAAAATCAAGAAATTTGTTGATGAAGGCTTCGATAAAAAGTTATTAACGATTAAATTCAAAAATTTCAAATCGTTGTGAAAAAATTATTTTCGGTTGTGGGGGTCAATTGCAATCATTTTTGGTGAATACACATACCTTTGAAATCCTATTCATTTTCGAGAAAAAAATTCGAGTAGGTACTGAAATTTTTAGACGAAATTAAAAAATTTTAAATCATATTAACAAAATTATATTTAGTTTCAGGGGCCAATTACAATCATTTTTGGTCATTACACATACCCCCGAAATCGTACGCACTTTCGAGAAAAAAATTCCTTACCGAAAATCTAATTAGGTGCCTAAATTCAACGAAAAAAAAATTTCAAATCGTTGTGAAAAAATTATTTTCGGTTGCGGGGGTCAATTACAATCATTTTTTAAGTATAAACATACCTTCGAATTCCTACCCATTTTCTAGAAAAAAATTCGAGAAGGTGTGACATTTTTCGACGAAATTAAAAAATTTCAAATCATACTAAAAAAATTATATTTAATTACAGGGGTCAATTACAATCATTTTTGGTCATTACACATACCCCCGAAATCCTACGCACTTTCTAGAAAAAAATTCGAGAAGGTGTGAAATTTTGCGACGGAAAAAAAGAATTTCAAATCGTTCTGGAAAAATTATTTTCGGTTGCGGGAATCAATAACAATCATTTTTGGGGAGTAGACATACCCCCTAAATCCTGCCCATTTTCGAGAAAAAAATTCAGTAGGGGCGGAATTTTAAACGTTAATAACTTTTTAACAAAGCCTCCATCAACAAATTAGTATTCTTGATTTTCGTCTTATTTTGGCCTCTAGAATTTTCCATTAAAATTTTTCCCACCCTGTATAATATCTCTGTAAATATCAAAGTAAATATCTTGTAAGTTTAGATTTTTTAAAAATATTCGGCCCACAGAGGGTTAAGAAAATTTAATTTATTTATTTTCAAGGAACAAAGGTGCAGATTCTGAAACCTAGGAAATTGGACAACTCGGGCGCAGGTTTCGAGAAATGGAAATTCATGTCGGTGGCATCTTGGGGAGAAGATCCGAATGGCGTCTGGTTTCTAGACATCCTCGACGAGGTCCTTAAATTTCGAAAATTCTATATTCTCCTTTTGCTCCATTTACCGGGATGTCTATTGACGAAACATTTTCAATTCGTTCGGTTCTGCTGAAAGCGCCGCGAACGAACGTCTAATTGCATTTATTTGCGTCGTAACAGATCGGACCAACGGGGAATAATGGCACTGTGAAAGACTTTGCATTGATTCTGCACGGGACCAGGGAAATGCCACGTTATCGTGAAAACGGGCCGAGAGTGTACGACCAGAAGTACAATCGACTTCGAGAAACCGTAAGTGGATGCATAATCATAATTACAGAACGATAATGCGATTCATTTCCGGTATTAAGTCGCCGGTAAACGGTCCGTTTACCATTTTTCACGCTCATTGTATGTTACAGAATGAATCCTCTGACATAAACGGGCCATCGAACTACGTGCCCGAGAATAAAGATCTCGAGTCAGAAGTTCTCGAAGCGAACGACGCTTATGGAAAGCACTGGCTCGAGAAACTTTTGCGAGTATAAATCGACGAATCTCGAACTCGAAAAAGTCTGTTCTAAACTGTCATTTATTCAGCGTTCTTTGTGATTTTTTTGTTTAATGATAGGTAGGCTGTTTTGTACTGAGATTTTGCAAATGTATTTATTCATCTTATAAGCGTGTACAATATTTTTTTTATTGGAATATATTCAAAATTGTGGGAATTATAACTTCCATGATATTTCAAGATCTAGCGAATTGACTTCAAATTTGGAGAGATTATTCAACAAACATTCTTTTATCGTTGGAACTAGAGATTTTAGAAAATATTGAGTTTTGCTAATTTTTTTAATATCCTAAAGAAAGGTTAAAAAATAGAAATTCACCCCGCCTTATAAAGACACTTTAGGCTCCTCAGTTTCAGATTAGGGGATCGACTGGAATCGAGGAAGCCAGTGGAACAACTTTTTCAGAAGAGCCATCAGACAAGAAGTTATAACTCCCATAATTTTTAATATTTTTTTATGACAAAAATTCTGTACGTGCTTATATGATGAATAAATATATCTACAAAATCTCAGTACAAAACAGTTTACCTAACGTTAAAGAAAAAATCACGAAAAAGGCCGAACAGACAGTCTAATTTATGGATTCCATACCTTCCAAGGGTGGATCGAACGTCGAAAAGGAAGCGACAACGGGGTGTTGTTAATCACCAAACACCTGATTTACCCTTTCCATTTGTCCAGGAATTATTCAAATTCCATGGAAGCCTCGTACAATTCTATTTGTAAACATAGTTCATTCATTAATATCTTTCGAAATAATTCTACCAACATACAACTCGTCATAGCTCGAAAACAAGGTCGAATTGAACGTACGTTTATATGAACTTTTTTTATTGTTTTCATGTGTGTAGAATCTAGTCCTGAAGACACCCTGTATACCGCAGAGTGTATTAGGAAACACTTGGATTATTCGATCAGGAACTTCAATGGCCTTTGAGTAAACTGGTACCCCGAAAATAAAGACTGGAATCATTCCAAACGGTATCTTAAACGAACGTTTGATCCACGAAGCGGTTATTCGGACACATATTCAGTGTCGAGTGATAAATCACACGCGTCGAGGCTGAAAAATTCAACTTCTCTGTAATCCTGTAATGCATAACCGGGGTAACGTTCGCCCGTGAAATATAGGGAATGCTATTAGCGTGCCACGCCAGCTATTCCACGAGTTACCCCTTAAGGGCGGGTCCAAATGAAATTTTCACGAAAACCATCTGCTCGCTGAAGCTGGGAGTCGTGTCGAGTTCCCCGATCATTACCGTAATTCGGTTATCATCGTTTTCCCTTTAACATGGAAACTCGGTATATTAACGGAATTTTACAAAGCGTCGCGCAGAAGAGATTGTTTCGTTCCTTTGTCGGTTGGCCCTCGAGTAGAAATCGCGTCGGGGATCAAAGGGACCGTACGCGTAATATTTACGAGATTTACATTTCAATTTTACTCGCGATGGGCGCAGAGCATTTTCAAACCCAAAAATTCAATTTCACCGGCTTCTACGATAATGCAAACTCACGCTGCCTGGTGGCTCCCAGTAATTTACGCTCGATGGAAGAGCAAACGAATAACAGCGAAACAGTAGATGCCATTGCTAACGAGATAAAATACTTTCTTTGGAATTTGAATTCTTGGACGATGATTTTATAGACTTTCTTCGGGAATTTTTTGTGAATAAACTGTAACACCTTTTGCAGTCAAATTTACAAGACTCACTTATAGATGCCTTAGTGGCATTCTAAAATTTTTTAGACGAATGAAAGTTAAAATTGGTGGCACTGCATATTTTCAAAAAAGTCGCCTCACGATGTCTATGATTTCGGCCATTCTGTTTATTTGAAATGAAAAAACCTGAAAGATTCTTAATTAGTATGAGTTTGACTATAGCTGGTGGTAGAACAAAGGAAAAAAATGGCAACACTTTGAATTTCATGATCGATTTTGTCGTGTCTCTTTTTAAATTTCGGGGACTTAAAGAAATATGAAAAATAAAAATTTTGTACGTGTACTAAATGTGCATCAAAAATTTTAAGCCAATTGATCAAGTAGATTTTGAGGTATGTTAATTTTAAGAATTCAGGCGTAAGATCTTGCAGATATCAAACTATATTCTTTAAGAAAATGCAAAAAAAAGAGATCGATTTTTGAAAGGTTCGCGCTAGAAGACCGCCCCTTAAGTCGAGGCACAATTGCATATAAATTTGGCGGGAAAAGCCTCCGATTAAGCTTCAAATAATCCCGTATGCCGAAAAAGTATGCTACGATCGATGTATAAATGATTACGGGCTCTCAAGTAGCCGTGGAAGCATCGCGTTGGAAGTTTCATCCCAGGAATGGTGTACTCGTTTTAAAGTAACCTTTCTATATTCAGGTGGGCCTGACTTAATTATACATTAAAACTCTCGTGTTCTTCTCGGCCGAACTTAGCTCACCGAAGGAAAAAGGTTTGCAAGGTTACGAGAAGTGTTGGTTCATCGGTGCACGGTACGTCCCGCAGTATACGCGATATAATCAGAAAGGGAAATGATTCCGCGACCTGATAATAAATTCAAAGTAGGCGCGGCGAAACTTTCTCGCGCGTGCGTGTCAAAAATTCATAAAAGAGCCATCAGCAACGTACCGCGTGCAAAATTTATAATTATTAAACGACTGTTTGAAAACTATCGTGAATCAAGTTTTTAAATTTTTAATAAATTAAAGTTTTAGATTTTTATAAAAAATGGATATTAAATGCGGAATAAAATACAAAGTATGTATATTCACTGCACATTCAATACATACAAAGAAACAGTTTTGTCCAGCTAGTTTGTAAATGATATTAGACTTTCTAATAAATAATTTATGAAAAGGGGTCCCATGAAGGGTGATGTTAAAAAAGTGCCAAATTTGTACCCCGCCAGGCACCTAAAATAATTACAAGGCATCATTCTACAGATTCTGCACTTCGAATTGTGCACAATTGTTTATAGCAAATGGGATGGGAAAGTCGTGAAAAATGTGGTTCAAGTTGACGATGCTACGAAAGTCGAATCATAACTTTCTGACTTCAAATAATTATAACTTCGAAATGAATGCATGAAACGTAACAATTCCGATGCTATTTTGTAAAGAAAAGTCAATATTTATATAATATGCAAGGAAATGTTGCCTTAATTATTAGAAATATTAAACGTTCAAAACTGAAGGTAAACTCAACGAACTCTAAGTCTTCTTTACATGAAATTGTATTTAAATAAGATTCTTCGAATGTTGTATCGATTCTGTTTGTGAAAATTAAGCTTCAGAAACGGTAATTGGTAGTTACCAATAGAAAGAGCCACCACCAGAATAAATTAGCTTCTCCAAAATAATAGCTATTATCAAAAATATTAAAAGTTCAAACCTGAAGATGAACTCAACGAACTCTAAGTCTTCTTTACATGAAATTGTATTTAACTTCTTGTAGAGGTGTTTATCTGGAGCAGATAACACAACTATGGCTTTCCACGATACTTTTTCTTTCGTCTATAATTGGACCACAGTCTTATATGAGATGCTATCCAGTGCAAACCAAGCGATTGCTAGATTTTTTAGATTTCAGATTTTATTTTATTTCGAAGACATTTTGTATTACGATTTTTGTAGTGTGCTTGTGTAGTGTACTTTGTAGTCTAGTGTGATCTGTGTAATGTACTTTGTAGCCTTATGTAACTCTCGTAGTGTATTGTAGCGCACGTTATAGTGTAAAATGGAGAGAAATTGTATTATTTGTAGGAAGTCACTTGCAAAGTTAGCTCGAAACAAATACCGGAAGTGCAATGACAATTGGTTATATTTCGTAGCATCGTCAACTTCAACCACATTTTTCACGACTTTCCCATCACATATGCTATAAACAATTGTGCACAATTCGAAGTGCAGAATCTGTAGTGCAATGCCTTATAATTATTTTAGGTTCCTGACGGGGTACAAATTTGGCACTTTTTTAACATCCTCCTTTCGAAGATCGACCATAATTTGAGAGACACTGATACAATATCATATATAATATCTTACGAGACATTGAAGATATCAAAAAAGTGTTTTTACAAAAATTGTTTCATTTAAAAGGACGCATTATTTGGTATAAGTAATTTTTGTGTAAGAATACATAGTAGCAGCTTTTTTTTTAGAAACAAATGCAAGACATCAGTCTTCAAAATGAGACTAAAACAAAACCTTCAACTCGGTTCATTCCAAATTAAAAAATGAAATGAAAATTGAAAACGTTCAATTAGGCACAACTCAAAAACCATCATAGATATCAAAACGTAATTTAACACGATTCAAGTACACACTAGGTAAAATTGATTTCGTTGCTTATAATTTAATTTAAAAAAAACAACACAATTATAGACGACGAGTTTAGTTTCGAGACGATTTTAAGAATTACCACTTAAGCACCTCCCAGTCGTTTCCAAAATTAACAAATCGTAAAAAAAATTATGCCAAATCATGAATCATATGTTCAGTTAAATATATGTGAATGAATTTTCCATTATGGGTAGACATTTTACAAAAATGACTTATCACCACTGTGCACCGGTTAATGAAGGTAACAAAAGCAAAGCACGAAGGCACGCGAGAGCCTCGAATTTGTACTGCTGCGGGCGCCAATCATAGTCTTTGCATCCACCACGTAACCGCGCTGCCGTCGACCGTACAATGGGGTGTGTGGGTGGGGAAACAGGGATGATTCGAGCAGTACCATGCCGCCCTTGGTGCCGTGAACGTCGTGGAACGCGCTCGTTGCGGAGGCCACCTCGACTTTGTGCTCGTATCGTCCCTCTTCGACCTTCGCGAACGAACACGAGGAACCCGGACGTCGGCTATACCAAAACAAAACGAAAACCCCTAGAGACGTGGACGCGTAAGTAGTATTTGCAATCTCCCATTTTCCATCCCGAGGGAACGAGCCGAAGCGGGCACGTTCGCGCGAGAAACGTGACTGAAATCCACTGATCGTGGGAGGAGGGGTACGGCATTAATTGAGCGGAGGTTGCTTTCAACGGTAATTAGACAATGATAAATGGGTGTGACAACGCGGCGCGCGATGACTGCTGCTTCGTCGAAGCTAAATTTCCTCCGAGTGGCTTCCACTCGACGCGTATCTCGTTAATTAACCAACGACACCTTCGTTCGCCTCCTTCGAGGCACGCAAGACGAACGCGAACCCCTCCCGGAGGGCGGGAATCTCTTTTTTCGCGCTCGAATTTCGAGCCACTCGAACGGATCGTGGTTGGTCCGCGACGAACGCTCTAACCGTTCGAGAAAAACGCGCTAGTTTAACATCCAAACGATTTCATATCGCGAAGAAATTGGAAATTTGTTTCATCGTTGGACGTAATTTAGGGGGTTGAACGAACGAGTAGATTGTTATACTGAACCTTACAGGGGTAAACTGTATATTAACCGTTAATTGTAGAGCACAATATTGATTGGAAATAAAAATAAATTTTAGTTGTTGGGACATTAATGTATAACACTTTGTAAAACGAACATTTTTAATTGTTCCCCAACGTTTTAAAAAAAGAATCAGGTCGAAAGAAAATGTATCCTCATTTTTCTCTACACGCCCGTACAATAACAATATTTTTTTAACGTATTCCATATGAATATAACAGTATGACGCAATTTAATTGTATAAAACTGTGGGTACATCGTTATTTAAATATTTTCATGCATATTCTTTCTCGACACAATTTTTCCTGGACGTTTTTCAAAAACTTCGTTTGCATTGTACTCGAGAGAATACGTATCCATTTATATCTGCATGGCCAATACATTTTAAAAACTTCTATAAAAAAAAATAGAAAAATACCATGATTTAGTTTCTACATTTAAATGATAGAATTTTCTAATGATCGATCGTTCGGATATTGCGAATTTTACTGCATTTTGTTGTTGGCAATTTCAATTTTATAACCGTTTTAGCATGATCCAACCGAAAAATTAGCGGCATTTAAATAATTTTAAATTGAAATGCCTATTAAAATTCATCTGCTATCGAGTCTGACCTATATAACTGGCAGAGTGAATTTGATAAATAAATCGAACAAGGAAAATAATATTAATAATAACTACGTAACTGTGTAGAGTCCTCTACACCTAAATAATTCACATAAACGGAATTCTATTGCGTTTTTAACGTCGTTTAAATATATTATCCAACAAACACGCGACGATCGAAGTAGGTTAGCTAACGAGATAGATATTCTAAATAATGTCCCCCTCGACAAGGTGATTGCACTTCAGGAAAAAATCATTATAACTCACGGTTATTATAGTGTGATGATCGCGATTCGATAGTTTATTTTTCTTTGGTTCAAAGCCACGTAATTAAATAGACTGTTGCATCGAGCTTAGATTCTACTTCGTAAAATACATAATGTTCAATTACGTGTGTTTTAATAGCAAAGATTTAAAAAATGCATGCGGACGAGATGAAAAACAGCAGGAACGAGACGCAATTACGTTTCAACGAGGTTTCTAGATGAAAGATAATTTTTCTGCGAGCATAGATCTTTCGATTTAACAAGGAATTCCCATTAGGAAAGCAAATTTTAACATCTCTTCTTTAAGGGGACGTTTAATTATATTTTCAAACTTTTAAACGTGCTTGTTTGAATTTTTTAATACACATTTCAAGCATTTCACAATATTTTCACAAATTGTCAATGAAATTAATTCAAGCGAAAGGGTAAACGTGAACGCCAGCGCAAGATTTCTTCGTATCGATTGACAACAGTCCAGTATAGTGACTGGCAGGTGAGCAAACATAAACAGTTCTCAAGATTAGTTTCGTGTTTCGCTTAAAGGCTCGAGTAGCCGCGTGGAGCAATCGCGAATGAAAGGAAAAGTAATGCTGCAAAAGGTGGTATAGAGTTTCTCATTTCGCGCCCATATTTCCCGTAAGTCGTTTCCTGAAAATATACACCCGCCTCGTAAACAATTTCACCGTTTTGATGCATCGTGGAACCGTCGCAATTTTACTCATCTCTCTTTCTTTGCAAAATATGAAACGCGTCAGAAACTGTTTAACAAACTGTATGAAATTCATTTTATATGTGCCATTTTATAAAATATTTTTCAAAAATCTAATTGCACGTATGTATATCATTGCTGCAATAAAGTTAGACTCTTGACTTCGAAGTTTTGTGATCGCAAGACACTGTATAGGGATTTAAAATTCGAGGTTCGAAACCGAAATTATTTATTTGACGACTCGATAAGTAATCTGTGCGAAATTCATTTTATATTTTGTCATTTTAACCTTTATAAAATATTTTTTTTTAATTTAAGTACACGTATATGATTGCTGCAATGACTTCTTTTGAATGTAAAACACTGTTTTGGGATTTAAAATTCGAGATTCAAAGCAAAAAATATTTTCTTGATACCTCGATAAGTAATCTGTGTGAAATTCATTTTATATTTGTCATTTATAAGATATTTTTAAAAAATCTAATTGCACGTATATTATCGCTGCAATAAAGTTAAACGGTTGATTTCGAAATTTTACGATCGCAAGACACTGTATAGGGATTTAAAATTCGAGTATCAAACCCAAAATTAGTTTCTTGACACCTCGACAAATAATTTGTTCGAAATTCTATTTTATATTCGTCATTTTAACCTTTATAAAATATTTTTTTTTTAATCCAATTGCACGTATATTATCGCTGCAATAAAGTTAGACGCTTGACTTCAACCGAATATAAAACACAGTTTAGGGATTTAAAATTCGAGTTTCAAAGCCAAAATATTTTAAAAAAATCTAATTGCACGTATATTATCGCTGCAATCAAGTTAAACACTTGACTTCGAAGTTTTGTGATCGCAAGACACTGTATAGGGATTTAAAATTCGAGTTTCAAAGCCAAAATTATTTTCTTAACGACTCGATAAGTAATCTATGTAAAATTTATTTTATATTTGTCATTTATAAAAAATTTTTTAAAAATCTAATTGCACGTATATTATTGCTGCAATAAAGTTAAACGCTTGACTTTGTTCGAATGTAAAACACAGTTTAGGGATTTAAAATTCGAGTTTCAAAGCCAAAATTATTTTCTTGCCACCTCGATAAGTAATCTGTACGGAATTCATTTTATATTTGTCATTTTAACCATTATAAAATATTTTTTAAAAATCCAATTGCACGTATGTATATCATTGCTGCAATAAAGTTAGACGCTTGACTTCGAAGTTTTGTGATCGCAAGACACTGTATAGGGATTTAAAATTCGAGGTTCGAAACCGAAATTATTTATTTGACAACTCGATAAGTAATCTGTGCGAAATTCATTTTATATTTTGTCATTTTAACCTTTATAAAATATTTTTTTTAAATCTAAGTACACGTATATGATTGCTGCAATGACTTCGTTCGAATGTAAAACACTGTTTTGGGATTTAAAATTCGAGTTTCAAAGCCAAAATTATTTTCTTGATACCTCGATAAGTAATCTGTGTGAAATTCATTTTATATTTGTCATTTATAAGATATTTAAAAACAATCTAATTGCATGTATATTATCGTTGCAATAAAGTTAAACGGTTGATTTCGAAATTTTACGATCGCAAGACACTGTATAGGGATTTAAAAGTCGAGGTTCAAAACCAAAATTATTTTTTTGACGACTCGATAAGTAATCTATGTAAAATTCATTTTATATTTGTCATTTATAAAAAATTTTTTAAAAATCTAATTGCACGTATATGATTGCTGCAATAAAATTAAACACTTGACTTTGTTCGAATGTAAAACACTGTTTGGGGATTTAAAATTCGAGTTTCAAACCAAAATTATTTTCTTGACACCTCGATAAGTAATCTGTACGAAATTCATTTTATTTTTGTCATTTTAACCTTTAAAAAATATTTTTTGAAAATCCAATTGCACGTATGTATATCATTGCTGCAATAAAGTTAAACGCCTGGCTTCGTTCGAATGTAAAACACTATTTAGAGATTTAAAATTCGATTTTCAAAGCCAAAATGATTTTCTTGACGACTCGATAAGTGATCTGTTAACCATAAGCATCTAGATTCATAAATTACGTCGTTCGGTAAAGGTAACTGATATTGCGTCGGATAGTCGATACGACTTGTGAATGCTGGAGCTATTAACCCAGATCGAGAAATTCGGATTTCGTGCTGTGAGTGAATATGGCCATTGATGCGCGTGTTTCACGGATTCAACGACACGGGCGCGAAACAAGTCTCTCGGAGGACGAGCGATCCTTTCATCTCTTCAACGTCGGTCGTTCGAGCCGGAACACCTGCTCGTTAGAATAGAAAAAAAAAATTCATCCGGTGCCATTTATCACCTACTATACGTTCCATCGATAAGTCAAAGAGACGTTTCAATTTATTTGGAGACCGCTATTTCACGAGCGAACGTTCCCAGCGACCGCGATTCAGATCCCGCGAAAAGAAACCGTCGCTTTCTCGCCGGCAGAAAAAAAAACTTTTTTTGCCCGCCCTTACGACTTCTATCCTTTCCCGAAGGGCAAAAAAAAGGGTTGAAAACGTACAGATGGAGGAAGAAACTTTTTATACTTCTCCAATTGCTTTACGTTCGTAAACTTTTAAAACGCCGCGCCGCCATTGGCCCATTTCGCGATTCAAATCCTCCGTAGTCGAGATTATGAGTTTACAGACGTGGATAAAACGGAATCGAACGAACGAAACAAATGGAAATTGTTTGAAAATAATTATTTTCAGAATAATTTCCACGATGGACGTTTCTTCTTTGCTGATTGATCGTCGATGTTAAATGTTGACTGTATGTTCAGAGAGTCCGCCGTTTGCGTCGTCAAAATGACGTAGATATATATTATAATACGCCCAGCGCGACAAATACCG